AAAGTGTTTTTCTCGAGCACGACCTCGCAGAACTCTGATTTACAGTGGGTAAAAGTGAAAAATGAAGGTGAGAACAATAGTATTTATAGATGAAAACGATGGGAGGCCAAAGGTCGCTATCTACGACCGTCCACGAAGACACGTGTCACAAATCCAAGCCACTCTCTGCAACGGTCATATCTCGACCTATATCATCAGCCATCACTTCTCGACAAATGCTCGAGGAATGACATAACCCATTTGCACCCCATCCTAAGAGCTCGATCTCTAGGACGAGTGCACGGGGGCCAGTGACTATGCCAATATTGATATACCCCGAGGAGTCTATCCCAAGGACTCAATATATACCCCACCTCATTTCTCTTCTATGGTCCTCGGGGTCACCCTAAGTCCTCGAGGTATCGTAGTCCTCGAGACCTCGGGTTATTATGCCCGACCACATCATGCGCGGCTGCTTCGCGCAATGCAAAACTCGTCCTCGAGCACTAGCAGTTCTCGAGCATGTGCTCCCCTCACAAACCTACGATATTGTTGACCCTTTAGAAGTCCTACGCAATAAGGACTCGAACTCAACCATACATTTGATTCCCACAGGGATAATTATGGAATTTAAACAACTCCTTAACCATTTAGGACTCCAAGAGATAAGGACATCCAGATAGTTGAGTCTCACTAGGAGAATGTCGCTTACTACTATAAATACAGAACACTGAGCCATTATTCAGATACGTTTTTCATTGTTCTCCAGCACATAGCCTCACGCATATAATTCCCTTTCTGACTTAAGTATCGGAGGGGCGACGAGAACACATCTTGTTGCCTTTGTTTCAGGTACTGGAAGACTACGATCGTGCTCCACATCCGTCATCAAGCTCGAGAAATCTACAGGTACGATTTTTGGTAGCATCAATATATATATATATATATATATATATATATATATATATATTCATCTAATTTGATTTATTAAAATCCAAGAATTAATTCCTTTTGCCTTTGGGCAATATTTCACTTTTTTTATTATCTAATTACAGATTTGTCTTTTTCAGATCACGATCCATCACAAACCGGTCACATTCTTCTCATTTTTCGATTTTTTTTTTGATGGACCTTTCTCATGCAATTTCTTCGTGGTTAATCATATCGCTTCCCACAGACGGCGCCAATGATGATGCAAAAAATTGTACCTGTTGATTTCTCGAGATTGAGGACTGAGATCAAGCACGAACAGAATCTTCCAGTACCTGAAACAAAGGCAACGAGATTTGTCCTCGTCGCCCCTCCGATACTTAAGTCAGACGGGGAAATTATGTAAAAGTATATATTGTAATTGTATTGTAAAAACATACCTGAATAATGGGGCTAGGTCTTGTATTTATAGACGTTGGTAGTTGAGTTGTAGAAGGATTCAACCATTTAGAGTCCTTATCCTCATCAAATAGAGTAATTGAGTCATAAGAGGACTAAAACACGTAAAAGGCTCGAGACGAGGACAATATTTTGGCACGTGGGCCTGACATTAGCGTGGCCAAATTATTAGGCCCGACTTCTAAGAGTCCCGACCACTTTTTAGAGGATATTTGAAGACGAGAATGGTCGAGATATTGACCTCGGGCCATGCTTGAAAGTTCGGGGTCGGGCTATAATTTTTGTACACATCAAATAGAAATTAAAAATATTGTGAAACCTGTTAAATAGATTATACCATGATCAAATTAAATACATGTTATATCAATCTAAATACGTGGTGAATACCTGCATATTATATCTTGTAATTCTTTAAGTTGGATAAGTAAATAGCAATTCTTTAAATTATAAATTCAGAAAACACTGCCTTGTAATTGGGAATCTCCTCCTCCAAAAAAATCACATCGAAAAATAGAGTCAAGAGGTCGAGGCACCACGAGCAGCAATGAGAGAAAGAAGAGACGAGAGGTTGAGGAGAAATTTGATGATTAGGTTTTTGGTTTTAAAGTACAAATCTTTTTTAATATTTTTTAATTTATTGGGTTGAGTTGGGTTTGTTTGGGTTTTAATGGATAACCAAGAATCCAACCCAACCAACCTAAAATTTGATTTCCTAACCCGAACCCAACCCAATTGAATAAAAAATCAACCCAAATCGGTTGGTTTAGGTTGGGTCGATTTGTTTGAGTGGTTCGAATTGGTTTTCACCTAGCTCTAATTATAACCTTATTTTCTCATATTTCCAGCACTATCCTAGTATAGAAAGTATCTATAATTGAATTTTTACTTCATAAACATTATTCATAGAGGGGCCTAGAAGTGCCTACTACTACACTACACTAGGCTCTACATATTTACTAACCCCTATCGAGTGGCTTATTTCCCCTTCTTTTTTTCGTTTCATTCTTCTCTACCTTCATTGCTTGAATGAAGGATTAAAGTATGATTGCAAACTACACTAAAATGTAGATAAACTCGTTAGCGAGAAGAACAACGACTAGCAGCATGAGGAAATCAACTCAAAATGGCTAGGGTTACTTCTCTGTTGGTTGAATTCGCCACTAGGTGGAATTAGACATTCAACTCTTGATTTCTGCTTGATTACCTTCCTTACCTTATCAATAAATAGGTATGTTTGAAGTGGGGAAAGTGAACTACTCCTTACCATATTATCACCTTTGTTCTTATTCCCTGTCCTCTACAGTGAGAAACATAATTGCAAGGAACGTAAGGGAGACTCTAGGATCAATAAAAGAAGGTTTACTCAATCTTTAAAAGCGACAATTGTGTGCTTACTATAAACTAGGGTAAAACATGTTCATTTTTCTCGTTTGCTTGATGTTTGAGGAGGGCATTCCACAAAACAAAAGCACTAGACCCCCGATCCTTTACTTTAATCAATAAGATTAGTAGGGTCATGATAACTCTCTTCAAGCAAATCAGTACGTTCTTTTCTAATCCTACTATGAAATGTCAAATTTTCGGGCAAAATTCCAAGGTAAGATTTGAGCCAATCAAGTAAGCGAGTATCTGTATTCATCCCTGTTGTCACAGATAATGAAGTAATGGGAGTAGGAAAGGGCCCCCCTCTGCAGTAACAAACCAGTTATTTAAGAAATCGTAATCATAAGTACTCATTCCACTTTTCTATTTTCATTATTTATTTTTTGGATTTATTTGTTAGTGACTTTTTGCTTATCCAATTTCATTCTTATATATTTTATTGATTATTATTGTTGACCTAGGATGTGTTTGAGCCACATTATTTGACATTATAATGAGATGAATATTATTTTTTTTTTTGAAAAATGAGTGGTTGAAATTTTTTTGATTTACGTGTAATGTTATTTTATTGAAAATTGTGTGGTTAAAAGTAGGAGAGGGAAAAATTTAATTTAATGTAATGAGAAATAATGGGGCTCAAACGGGGACCTAAAAAATGTACCTCCAGTGTGGTCAACAAATCACAAGACCTCTCACGTTCACATAAGTCGTATTCCTGCACAATGGGACAAACTGTTATACCTACGTGGCCTTCTCCGGTGGGGGTGGAGTCCGCCGCGGGCATTTCGACGATTAAGTCAGTTTTGAGAAGCAATATATTGAGTGTGGGGGGCTTTTAACATGAGCCTTCAATGTGAAACAAAAGGGCTCGGTATTGGGAATCAAATAGAAAATGTAGAGAGTAAAGTTATAGCATCCAAGTCCAAACTTGCATTACTTTTGAAATGATATCAATTATGAGCATTTATAATAGAAGAAGGTCAGTAAGAACTATTGGATGAGAAGACATGTGACCTCATCCTGTGAGTATAACATCTCATCATGGACTTCAATCAATCTTGAGACATGAATGCTAATGCCAATCTACCTTCTATAAGTTGTAACCTGTGGCGGTAGACTTGACCAAGTAGGTTGGTTGTGGCGGCAGTGGCAAGGAGTTGTCACATTAATTACTTCAATGAATCTGTTTCCAAAGATCTCCTGCCAGGCTCTTTCTTTCTTTAGCTTCCTTTAGCCTTGTCCCTACCTGATAGGTTCAACCTCAAGAGTTCGGTTGCAACATGGGTTCGGCCACAACATAGGTTCATCCATGGGGTTTAGTCGCCAGGTTTTTGCCACTTGTACAAGTGGGGCCAATTGCCAACGTGGAACGCACCTATGGCCTATGTTGTAAAAGGCATAACAACTATCTTTATTTTTCGACTATTCATTCAAAATTTTGTAACCTTTGGGTTTTCGTAAGAAGTTCCGCTTTCACACCTATATTATACCTATTCATTATATTGAATAGGTAAGGCGAAAATGTTTGACGGAACGAAATTATTAATGAAGCGTGCAAATGAATAAACTTCCTCAAGGTCTTCTCTATATGCTACATGTGCAGTGTGCTGCGTCGTCTCCAACTGTTAAATTGAATGAAACCCTTTTTGTGAAATTATTGTTAATAATGCAGCTTAAATATTCGCCGTCCAATCAATTTCGACAATCCCAAGAAGGTTTAGCAGCTGTTTTTATTTCTTAACATCGCTTAACCAACAATCAAATGTCTTCCAATTTTCTTAATTATTTCCTCGGGATCGTTGCTGCATTTATTAGTACAGAAACATTTAGGAACAAGAAACTAAACCGAGTATGAAGCAAGTGGATTACACCATCAAGGCATCAATATAGATTTCAGCTTTTGTAATGAAAGCTACGTTTACTTGATTTTCAATATTTTTCATAAAAACAAATATCATTTTTTCGTTCAAATTTTTATTTTGTTCTGTTTGATCGATACTTTTTTTTTTTTTTTTCCATATTTTGGTCACGTGATCGTATTTTCGTTGAAAACAAGAAAAACATTTTTTTAGGGGAGTGAAATTTTATTATCCAAGTAATTCACTTTCTCTTTCTTTCTTATCTATCCTCTCTTTCCAATCTACCTATCAATAAGAAATGGACAAATATAACATTTTCTAAATTAAAATAAAATCAATCAAACACATATAATTCACAATTTTTATGAAAAAATTCTAGGTAATTCAATTGCCTAAAATTTATTTTTCTTTCAATGTAAATTCCATTCTCACAATCAAACACACCCTTTTTATATTACTACAAGTTTACAATATATATATATATATATATGATTTGGAGGTAAGTTTTGTAAATATTATATAACCTTAGTTTAATATCTTTTAAAAAAATTCAATTAACACATTATTGAACAATATAGTGTTCAATGAATCAACAGCCCAAAAAGAAGTCAAACTTATTCATTATGGTTTTAAAATATTTATTTTTATATCATTGAAACACTACAAGAAAAATTACCTTTTGCAACGGACAAAAAATGTTGTCATAGGTCTTTCGCAACATTCAACCCGTACATTACGGGCTTCAATGTTGTAGTTGAGTAGATGAATTCAACAATAGATAATGCACATTGCAAAAGATTGCAATATTCATTGCCGTTGATGTTTTAGCAATTTTCATAGCACATTGCCATTAATATTTTAGCAAAATTTGTTATTTGTTGGACCATTCCCTTTAATGTTTTTAGCAAACTTGTTCATTATACATTGCCGCTAATAATCATAGTTTCCAACGTTGGTGGCGGTTTTGTTTTTAGGGAACAATGTTGTCGACCACGGGAGCAGCGACAAAGAGTGGCAAAATGAGAGCGGCAGCGGGAGGCAGACTAGAGATCTAGATTTGCAGCTTAAATGGCTTAGGCATGAATAGTCTGAATTGAATTTTAGGGTTTTTTAATTTTTTTATAAGTATATTTTTTTTTTAATTAACAAGGTTGGGTTGGTTGAAACTAAATATGTGTTAGAATTGTATTGCAACGGGCATTGAATGTTGTAAAACATGCTTTCGGCAATGATTAAAAGTTAGTATCGATCGAACATTGACCATTGCTAAAAGAGGAGGTTTTAACAATGCACAATGAAAGTTTAAAAATAAGTCACATATTAATAGTTTCAACAACGATCTTTGCCCATTGTCAACCATTGTCAAAGCTAACATTTAACAACATGCAAAGAACGTTACAAAAAACACGAAATATGTGGACTTTTTACAACGTCTAATGACCCTTGCAAAAGGAAACATTAATAACATGTTTTAAAATATTGTCGTCAAATTTAAATTATGTGAAGTTGGTCAATATATACTTACTGAATGTTTCGATGACCCCTTTTAGCAACAAACAATTAATGAATATTGCATTTTACATATTGCAAAAGATGAACAGTACACCGAATGGTTCAATTTGGATTTCTTGAGATTGGTACCCAACTGAAACTTGTGAAATGGATGGTTCTATGGACCAACAAGAATTCATACTGGACCATAATTCATTGATTGTGGTTCGATCTAGTTCTTTTATGTAATTTGTGAAAACTTTAAATTGTTGTGTAAATTATTTTGCAATACTTTCATGCTTTCGCAACAAAACTATTGATTATTCAAAATATATGTTAATTCATGTATTCATGTAAACTATGATATAATTAAGAGATCATAACAAAATAATTTTACTATCAATTTAAAGTACCGTTATGCAATTAAAACCAATGCTTGGATTTAGTTCTCGATTTTAAAATTCAACCATTCATGTTATAGGTCTAATTGAAATTAAGAATATAAGATTCATTTAATTATACATATCATTCGGCTCTTATTTGATTAGGATTAAAATCAAATTTTTAATAGATTTTAATAAAAGTTGATGAAATGTGTGGTTAAAAGTTGTGGGAACCAAAAAATAAGTAGTTAAAATTAATTTTTGACTTTGACTTAATCGGTATCAAACATGTGCTTAATGTTATTTAGTGTTACTTAAATCAATATGAAAAATCCAATGAGTATGGGGAATTTTTGATAGAATTCATACCAATACTGAATGGTCACAAATGATTTGATTGTTTTCCTTTTTTTTCTTTCCATCTTTTAATCAATTCTCGCCATATGTTGTCTGTCAAATTTTTCTGTCTAGTATTGTAACTTCATTGCATGCTCTTCAATAAAATATTATATTTACTGAATTGAGGGAGGCTGGTTCATTTTACAATTTACACCATGCAGATTGTACTCTCCGTAGACGCGCGTGGAAGCAGTAGTATGGCAGGTTGAATCGGAGAAATTTCTTTAACTTGCCTTTTACGTTAGCTTTAAGCTTTCCCGCCGGCGGCGTCACCGGTCGTCAACTTCCTCCCATCACAATATATCGTTGACAGTTGACACTCATCAGATATATATACAAACCTTTTTACTTAGAAATGATTTCTCATACATACTTGCCGTATACGATCCATCTACACAGAGAGAAAGAGAGAAATTATTGGTTTTATTAAAGTTGTTGGATGGGTTCATCGAGTCACAGCGGCGTTCCTCCGGGGTTCCGGTTTCACCCAACAGACGAAGAGCTTCTTTTCTATTACTTGAAGAAAAAAATTTCATTTGAAAAGTTTGAGATGGAGGTGATAAGAGAGGTGGATTTGAATAAGATTGAGCCCTGGGAACTGCAAGGTAATTTCTCTTTAATGTTATTTATGAATAATGAGAAATGTTTTCATTATTGTTTTATCGATAATTAATTGCAACAAATAAATTCATCGATTTTGTTGTTAATAAAATGTTTACTGCCATAATTTTCCTTGTTTAAACATCAATACATCAACAGTATTTGGTTGTTCAAGTTTATTTTATGCTTTATTTAATGATGAAGTTTGTCTTAATTTTATCGGGCAAAGTTTGTTTTTATTGTTGAGTAGACATAACCGTAAGCTCAAGATATAAAACGTCATGATCTCTACTCATAGTGCTCAACAACTTATTTTATCCATGGTGAAAATACTTTCTTATTTCTAAACTATATCGATTTATACGAAAATTGATTTACTCTTTGAATATCGAGATGACGGGTTTCCTTGTTCAATAGTTTTCGCTAAATATAGCGCCGGAGCTTTTATAAATAAATAAATAAATAAAAATCACTTATTTTTGCTTTGCTAGACCCATTGTCCAATGATATGCATTATAAAATTCTAATAGTGGAGGACGAATCTTTCAGAATGTAGTGCATATACCCCTACAGATAATGAAAAATATTGAAAATGCCCTTAAACATGTTTTATGGGCTATCACATGGCAATGATGACATGTAATGACATGGGAATATAGACGTCGCTCTATGCTAGAAATGGTTATAGAGGTGGATCGAGATTATTAATTACTTGATTCACTAGCTACATATCTTTTGTTCCGTTGACAGAAGTGACACATTAATATTCCAAAAAATATAGAAATAAATAAATATTACGATCCAACTATCAAAATAGAATGGGCTAGAAATCTGAGTTCTAACTGAGTATGCATATTATAGATTTTGGAGAATAACGTGGCTAATCTTTGATTTTTCTTTATCCAACTCTTTGCTTTTGATGTTATGGTTGTGCATCGAACTCTAAATGGATGATACAACTGTTTTGACATAGAAATATAAATAAACTAACGGAACGTTTTTTTCCCCCTTTCTTGATGGCGTGTACACATGTAGAAATGTGCAAGATTGGATCGACTCCGCAGAATGAGTGGTACTTTTTCAGCCACAAAGACAGAAAATATCCAACTGGTTCAAGAACAAATAGAGCAACGAATGCAGGATTCTGGAAGGCTACAGGAAGGGACAAATGCTTAAGGAACAGCTACAAGAAGATTGGTATGAGAAAAACCCTTGTTTTTTACCGCGGCCGAGCTCCCCATGGCCAAAAGACTGACTGGATTATGCACGAGTACAGGCTCGAAGACAGTGAAGATGCTCAAGGAAATCCCAGTGTGAGTAATTATTTCACAAAAACATAATACTACATACTAGGTTGCACACAGACAAGAAGGGGAAACAAAACATGTACCTAGAGCTGTCATACGAAATCGATCAGTTTATCGAAACAATCCCGAGGAGACAAAAGAGCTTCAAAAGCAAGTGGAGGAGTTGATGAGCAAAGGTTATGTCAGGGAGAGCATGAGTCCATGTGCTGTACCTATTTTGTTNAAAAAGAATCGTTTTTGGAATTCCAAAAATATTTCTCACAGTTTCCAAAGAGTTTCCATTTTTTGAAACATATTTTGGAACTTTTCAGGAGGATGGATGGGTGGTTTGTAGGGTTTTCAAGAAGAAGAATCTATTCAAAGTTGGAAATGCAGCAGGAAGTGGGTTGAGTTCAGATCAGCTCAATACTGCAGCAGCCACCCATTCTCGTACATTCTTCACACAGAGGGAAAGGGAACATCAGTATCTACTGCATCAACAACAGGCTCATGGACTTAACTATTCTCACATGCCAGTGGCACTGCCTCAATGCCCACAACTACAAGCCCAGAACTTTATACCTACCCAGAAGCCATTGGGTTATGATCAGTTTTCAGATCAGTCACCAATTATGGTGAAGCAATTCATGTCCAACACTAGAGATTGTGAAAGTGGCAGTACTGATCAGAATCTTGGTTATGGGTCGGGTATGGAGGCGGTCGGGAAGTGCCAACCGGAGAATCTGAACGAATGGGGTATGATGGATCGACTTGTGACTTCTCAACTCGGACATGAAGACTCATCTAAAGGGGTGAGATTTGAGGATGCAAATGAACCATCTATGAACCAGATCAATCAACTATCTTTACGTAGCGAGATGGATTTATGGGGTTATGAAAAGTAGTAGTAACTCATCAGTAACACTTATTTTTATTTTTTGTAAAAAGAAATATTGAATTCAAGTGAATGAATTACATTTACATGGTAATGGCTACAGGGGGTGTAAACTAAGTATGCTATAATAATAACATCATTATTATTATTTTACTGTTTTTGAGTCATTGGAAATTCTTGTATGTGACTGATTGTTGGAGACAACTTATAAAAAGGGTTATGTAAGGGTTGGTTTTTGATAT